GGATCTAGGAAAAAAATGTTGCGTTTCTTGTTCAAGTCCTGAAAAAATTAGGGTCGGTAGGTAGGAATTATGTCTTTTTCTTTCTTCCTTTTTTTGTAGACTTCGGCAATCTCTACTGATCCAACTTATACAATACAAGTATACCAGCGTAAAACTTGCATGCCATGAGCACACTTCTATTTTCAATGTCAATGTTGGAAAACTGATTGTACAACATTTCATCACTCAGTTGTCAGGTATCATGGAGCTAGAAAAGGCAGATCAGCTTGAAAAATTTATGTCCCTTGCAGGGATCCACAAAAAAACAGCTAGGGTTGGCAGTTTTTTTTTAGGGTCAGTCAGGAAACACTTACAGGAAACACAACATTTTTTTCCTGGGCCTAGCATTTCATCCACACAGCCCAGAGGGCACAAAAATCCCACTGACTTTCCACTGAAGTCTTTATATATAATATATACCCCACAAGACATTTTGTATCTTGCATCTGTACAAGCACCTACCAGTACCCTGTAGTCATTCTTCACACTCATAAGTCAAGATAATTTATAACCATATTCGAACAAACTTTTGAAAACAATAAATTATTCATAACACTTTTAGTAGAAAAATGTGCAGATGGTTGTTGTGATGATACAGTTGCACCATCTTTAATATGCCTGACTAGCTGGATGTCAGCATAGCTCAGGGTTACATCTGCTTGGAAAACAACTGTACTCGTAAGAGATATATATTAAATGTTGACCTGACCAGTAAGACAACCAGCTGGTGGACATCAAAGATAAAATCCTGAGGATATTTGGATTACAGGGCTCAAAATACCCAGGTGCAATGTGCCAACTCAACATGATTTTCAAGATTTGCGCATTAAAAAAATTTTGAATGTAGAAAATAGTTGAATGTATATCATGTTTGCACTGTGTATCTCTGAAGTTTTGTTTGATATTTTCTTCTTGTTTCAAATAAATAACGCTTTTCATTTTTAAGCTTTTTCTTTTACATACATGTATACTAGTACGTAGGCCACCCCAATTTAATTTGTTGGTTCTCGGATTTTTTCAGAAAAAATATGAAGCGACAGGGCGAAAAAAAATAAAAATAAAAACAGGTCTAGGCATCCTATTATAGGCTTAAATGCTATGGAATGAGCCATGAAGTCAACACAAAAGGCTGGGTTAAAATTCAAACATTGAATTTTGAACTTTTAATCAAACCACTGCAATGATAGATGGGAAAACTGTAACAACTAGGAAGAAAAGGACTTTCCTCAACTGTTGGGGGCAAAACATGAGCATTTTTCAGTTGATTCAGGACCAGAATCAAATTTTTTTTTTTTGTCAAATCAGAAAAAAAACGAAGAGGCGAATCCGAGAACCAACAAATTAAATTGGTGTGGCCGTATATAAACTTACAAATTATGTAGCTGTGGCAGGCTAAGAAGGTTAACAAACAGTAGATTCATATCATATCAGTAAAACAGTTGCAAACTGACTAAATATCATTTTGCACGTAAAGTTTTCAAACTGCACCTAAAACTTCTGCCAACGTGCAATTTTGTATGTACCTGAAAAAAAGTATTTTGAGCCCTGGTTTAACATACCTAAAAATACTGAGCTTACTTAGCAATAGATAAGAGGCAGTATTAAAGACATGGTGTTACAATGCAGTTCCATGAGGATGACAGAGTGCGTAGGAGTCACGCTCTTAAACATGTGGCGTCCTACAAGGATTACCACCTCGTTTGGAGCTCGTTTGCGAGCACGGTTTCCCACTTCTGTCTACCCACGTGTGAAATGGAAAAGTCAACGCTACATCATTCAAGGTTAAAAACCTAAGTACACAAAATACACGACATTGAAGTTGACCTATCTCGACTCCGGCTTTCTTGCTTTGGCAAATTCTTTTGAAATCTCCTGGTATCATCCAGGATTAGGGGCCTCCACATCGCTACCTTTTTGAATATTTTATGGCCAAAAGCATCTATGATGGATTGAAGAATTATAGCATTAGTGTATTATGTATGTTGAGACTACAACTGTAGCATATTTCATAACTTACTAACATTTTTCAGCCTACATTGAATTTTTCCACCTTCACCTCCCTTTGTCTTAAAGAAAGGAATAATTTTGAACCTTTGAAGGAGGTACACTTTATTTCCCATGGGTATTGAAGGATGTAATCCTGGATCAAAGTTTTACAGTTGTGCAGCCAAATATAAGTAGGATATCTTTAAGAATGGAATCTAAAGCATGTGACTAGACAAAAGTTATGACAAATTACACAAGATGTAATGCTGAATGTTGCAAGAATAATTTGCATATCCTGTAAAGTAGCGTTACGGTTACTAAGCTATATGTAAAACTAACAAAGTGCATATTTGCAGAAATTTCTTTTAAATTGCAGGTAGAAATTTTTAAAAACCTTTTGGGGAAAACTATTTAGAGTCCTGGTGCCCATTGGTATTGAGAAAGAATGAGAATGACAAGAGTGCTAAGTACTGTCTCCAAAATGACAGGAAGTCTACAGCTGAGGCCATTACAGGACCTACTAATAAAGTACTTGACTTTCAGTGATGGGCACAGGCTGCCCATTAAAAGTCCTGGTGACTAAGAGACATTCAGCAAGTAATGATAGAGTTCCATTGTAGGAGCTCAGACTGAAGAGACTGACGTTGTCCTTGATGCAACTGCCATAGCAACAAGGTTGGTGTATGAAACATGCAACAATATACAGTTATCCACTCATGTGTACCACAGCCTTACACATGTGGCCATTATTTGTACACGCAGGGCTTGATCATGAAATTCATTTCTAGTGGGAATAGGTGCACTGGTACACCCAACTTAAAAAACTGGGTACATGTAAAAATTGTTTGGGTGCACCCTATAGAATTTCTTAAAAAACTAATTATGTTTCATTTATAAAGAAAAACACTACAACAAGGATATTCTTGTTTTTCTGACCGATGTCAACAATATGCTGCATTACTATAGTTAACTGTACATATTCCGTAAACCTACAAGTACAAATGTTTGGGTGCACTGGTGCACCCACAGCCTCACAGGAAAAGACTGGGTGCACAGCTCCAAATTTGGGTAGGTGCACATGCACCCAGTATTTCGAGCCCTGTACATGTGATTCTCGAGAGTCATCAAAACATCTATTTTTTAAGTCAGTGAAATATTCAGCTATCCTGTATAACCACATGTACCACCACTATTATACTTTTCCTCACTTCCTTTCCTTCCTAGAAAGATAATCTAGAACAGTATCCTATACAACGTCACACATACATGTACCACCACTATTATGCCTATCCCCACTTCCTTTCCTTCCTAGAAAACTTCTAGAACAGTCCCTGGCAACACAAACTGTTACCCTTGCCACCTCAGCTGGAAGAGAGCCAAAGCATGAACACAAATATGGCACCGAACATGTTTACACTGTGCACCAGACTTAGGCATGTCCGTCCCACTGGCCCACTTTTTGTTCCTTACCAAACTGGGCGATGACATTGACCTCTAAGCCTTGTCTTTGACTTGAATGTCACCCTTCTTGGCCAATGGGGTGCTTAACCTGACCTTGTAGACATAAATGTCTTCATATGGATTCCTTCCAGAACATATCTATTTCCAACATGCCCTTTTACTACAGGTCACTCAACTTCCTGTCTTAGTCTGGACTGCAGACAGCTTAGGGCTCCAATATGGTTGTTTTGCTACTGGTGCAGGTAACACAGGAAATTCACCTGCATCTGACACATCTCACCTGCACCACTCGTGTTCTAGAAACCATTGCAACTATTTCTTTTGCATTTCACCGGTGATAACAGTTAATTTAGCAAATAAAAGCCCTCATACGTAAACACATATACAGCCAGTACATGGACTGGTGCAGGTAGACTTTCAAACTAGTGTTCAACTCCAAGTTTATCTGTACAAACCTGCAAATGTAGGTGATATTTAAGCTTCAAGTCTTTGTGCACTTGGTGCACCAGGTGCTTAATCTATAATAAACATGCCTCTTTGCATTTAGAATTAATTTGATGCAGAGAAATTTTTTTGTTTTTTTCTAGAAGTTTTTCTTTTTCCCAAAGCCTGAACTATGCCAACTACCAGTAGTTCAATCTAGCCAAACAAGGGCAAGAAACATGTGCACTATTCACTGTTCAGCAAGCTAACATCTCAATGTCAAGCACCTGTGCCCAGCTGGTGACTTTCCAAACGAACTTCACCATCTGGATGTGTTTTCTGGTCCAGAGTCACGTCACTAATACCTGCTTTTAGACTAAAATCAAGGTTAATAGTCATACTACTAATGCAAACTACAGGTTATCATTTGGAAACCTATATTTGTTGCTAGGTTTCATAAGATAAAGAGGGTGGGTATTAGCAATTAATATGAGTATGGAGCAATATACAAAGCTAAACACTAGGCAATGTATTCACATTATTAATATTAACATATAGACCTAAGACAGCACAATAATCCATTATGCCTTGCAATGAATACTTTTGCCTATCTATAGTGCAATGGGCTAATTGGCATAAGTTGCCTAACTAGTTGTACATCTTGACTACTAGTAACTGGTCTCTACACATTTGCCTAACTAGCATCATACAAACTGAGGTTGATACAATTTGCCTAACTAACAAACCTGTTGTGACCAGAAGAAGAATACAGGAGACAGTATTGAATACCATCCTTTACTCTTTAAAACATACATGTCTAAGCTCAGCTAACAGAAACTGGGTGACAAAAGCTGAAATACCATTTCTATCTACATCTAACATTACATGTACATGTTATAGTCTTGTTTTAGTAAATAGCATATACTATATCAAACACACACATTTCACTTGATATATGTCACAAGTGTAATACTATCAGGATGTTTAAAGAAATTCAGAAATATTTCTGTTTCATCCTATAATATTGTAAATTGTAATATATATTAAGTGGTTTATGTAAGATAAGCAATGTGCAGAATAGCATGACTTACCTGTCTCTTTATTACTTGTAAGCTGTCCTCAGCTTGCTTGATTAGTTCTTGTATTTTAGCAGGATCTGTTACGTCTTTGTTGGCTCTGAAGCCATCTCTAGTTCTTCTCAGGGCATACATCCTACATGTAGGAAAGATAACAGTCTATACAATTTAGCGCACTTGGTGCATTGAATAAAGAACAAGTGTACTTTGCATGTAGATTTTCTAATAAACTTTACCTAAGGATATAAGAATTTTTAATTTATTAACTAGAAAGGTTAAATGGGCAAATGCATAATGTTTACTACGCATATGGTCTGCTCTGTAAATTCTTACTCAAACATTCTGTATCATGTATATGGTCAGACAGGAGTCTAAATCCCTCCTGCTATAAAATTGCAGCATGATGTAACCCAACACTAGTTACCATGGTAACAGACAGTCTGGTTCAGGTCAATGACCTTTTGGTTTGGAGAAGAGCAAAAGACTAATCGTAGCAAAAACAATATGTTTTCCTTCGGTAACAATAGATATAACAAATCTTGAATGGCACAATTTGTAAACAGTGATCTGGTGCAATAAAAAAAGATGCCATGAGTGAGCATGACTTGACTGTTTTTTAGATGGCCACACCTACTCGACAGTGACAGTGTATGTGGACTGACTGACAGGCATGCATGGCCAACAACACAAACCTTATTACTACTTGTGCCATCCTATGATCCTAAATTGATCATGACATATAACTTACACAACTGAAAATCATCATCTTATCATATTTGCAGCCAAGAATCTCAAGCTTATGGGACCAAACAGAAACACCAAGGGCATTGTCTTCCGATATCGGCTAGATCTACGACATCTCGTGAACACATTTATCTGACTGTGAGCGCCCACCTGAAGTTGTAACTGGAGAAATTCTTGCTTTCTCGCAGGATCTTCTTGTACAAAGAAAGGACGACACTCCGCGTGCTCGCCGCCATTTCGTAACCTTTCACCGATGACCCCAAAATTTGTAGACTTCAGTGTGGTCTTAATTGGTGCCTAACGTAACACACAAGAAATCTATCTTTTTGTGGACAAAAAGTTATAGATATTATTTCAAAAAGTATACATGATCTTTGTAGCTGTTATCAACTCAAGTTGGCTAATTTTAGTCGACAGGGTTTGTAGAAAATTGTTATTGTATTTGCACTTCTCACCAGGCATTTTTTTCGCTGCAAGAGCCACCACAATCACAAGATGGCTGCCTCCATGTGATATGAATCGTTGTGTAAGTTGAATTTTATACTATTTTGCAGTAGACAGCTTCTTATGAGGTTTCCTTGGACCACGTAATTCGTGAAAAAGTAGCAAAAGTTTCATGTTATTTGTCTGAATTGTTTTAGTTGACAGTAAGTACCTGGTATTGTCAGGACATAGGACTTTCTGGCCCGACCGAGTGACTGGTAACCAAAATCCAACATGGCGGCATGTCAGACGACTTTTTACTTCACACGACGGGTCATACAGCTCGGATATAGGCTGCCGCTTTGCTCTGTCAGAGTGTCCAGAACAAGCTTCAGTTCTCAAGCTACGAGTCCAAATAAACTTGACAACGATGCTGTCGAAGTCTTAGGAAACAGATTTGGACGAGATGAGTGGACCAACGTTACTCCACAAATCTTGTCCAAAGTTGGAAGAAACCTTCACAACCAACAATATCACCCACTCAACCTCATCAAGCAGAGGATACACAATCACTTCTATGCCAGGTACACTCAGCGCGGAAACCCGATATTTTCTGTCTACGACTATCTCAGTCCTGTTGTGACCACGGAGCAGAACTTTGATAGCGTACTGGTTCCGAAGGATCACGTGACGCGAAGGAAGCAGGATAACTACTATATCAACAGTAACCATCTGTTGAGAGCGCACACCACTGCACATGATCGGGACTTGGTCAAGTCAGGACTAGACGCATTCTTAGTGACAGGAGACGTCTACAGAAGGGACGACATCGACAGGAGCCATTACCCTGTGTTTCACCAGATGGAAGGAGTCAGACTTTTTTCTAAACATACAGTAAGTGTTTACTATAAAATAGAAGGCCATAACATTATAAAAACTAGAAAGGTAACGTTTGCAAAGCAAATGCACAATGTTTACCTTCGCATATGGTCTACTCTGTTGATTCTTACTCAGACACGTTCATACGGTGACAGGAGTCTAAATCCCTCTTGCTATAGAATTGCAACATGATGTAACCCAACACCAGTTACCATGGTCACAGACGTATGGTTTCAGGTCATTGACCTTTTGTGTTTGGAGAAGAGGAAACTGAGCAAAAACAATATGTTTTCCTTTGGTAAACATAACTAGGAAAACCATTAGAGCTACCCATACCCAACTGCTTTAGTGTGCCTGATCTTTTGCATAATTTAGAAAGCAAGATAGATAAGATATGATAATTTTGTGTGATAAACTTCACAAAGAATCCTACAGATTGTGGCTTGCATTTCGATCTTGCTAAATTAGATACACATTGAATACACAATGATCTTTTTCTAACAGCTGTTTGGGGGCGTGAAGGGAGGACACATGCTGGAGCTGTTTGAGGAAGGGAGGAGGGTCCCAGAGAAACAGCAGAGGCACACACTGGAGGCTGCCAAACTGGTGGAGCATGATCTCAAACAGACTCTGGAGGCACTCGTCAAAAGCCTGTTTGGAGAAGGTGCGACATAGATGTATTCACTATTAGATGTGTCTTTTAATGTTTTATATGATATGTTGTACCTGGCAACATATCCATTAGTATAGACTGTAGTGTTGTACATATAACTTTATAAGCAGATATGTCGCAAACATTTCTCTTGTGACTGCTGACAATAGGTGACAATAGAATAATGATGATAAAAGAAATAAAGAAAAGGAAGAGTTCACCCATGTTGATAACACAATAGATGTAGTTTATATAAAAGAGGAAGGGCCGAAGGAAGTATAAATTTTGACATTTTTTCTGTATTTTCAAAACATTTCAAGTAACGAAAACATTTGATCTGTCGTTGTCGCAGACCTGCAGACTAGATGGGTGGACTGCACCTTTCCCTTCACTCATCCCTCCTTTGAGCTGGAGATTTGGTTTGGTGGGGAGTGGCTGGAGGTTCTGGGCTGTGGAGTCACAGAACAAGAGCTGCTCAGGAGAGGTCTGATATTCAGTTATATTACAATTTATGTACACGGTTGTGTGACTTTTGTCTATTGTAAAAATACAGAAAGTTTGCTCAGAACAGGTATGATATTTACCAATCAGTACCAAGGACAGGGATGCTAAGTTGTCAAGTCAACTCTTAGGAAAGGAAGTATTTTGTCCAATCAGCCTACAGCATCGGATGACACTGGCCAATCAGTACCAAGGACAGGGATGGTAAGTTGTCGACTCAACTCTCTGGAAAGGAATTATTTTGCCCAATCAGCCTACAGCATCACATGACACTGGCCAATCAGAACCTAGGACTGGGATAGTGCTGTCCAATCAACCTGCATCCTGGGTTGTAGGGGATTGGCCAGTTCAGCACCAAGGACAGGTCTCATGTTATTCACCAACCACTGCCAGTAAAGACACAGGCAATGATTTCAGGACAGAAACTGCTGGGATGGATTGGCTACTGTGGTTATAAGTAATGAAAACACTAAAGTGATCCACATGAAAGTATGTAACTGCTGTAAACAGAACAAATAGACATTTTGAGCTTTGCCGTATTTTGTTCCAGCTGGTGCTTCAGACAAGGTTGGCTGGGCCTTTGGGCTTGGGCTGGAGAGGCTAGCCATGATCCTGTACGGGATTCCAGACATCCGCATCTTCTGGAGCGAGGACCACGGCTTCCTCTCACAGTTCAGAGTAGATGACGTCAACCAACCTGTTAAGTTCCAGGTACGGCCTTTCTGGCTTTTTTTTAATCCTCATGTTGTTTGTTGCTCCAACATAGAGAAAGTTAGTAAATGTGCTGGGGTGGTGGAGTCTTGTGGCATAACAGGAGAGTGCTCGACTCGGAACCAAGAGGTACGGGGTTCGAGTCCTGACATGCCACCCATCTTGTGCCCTTGGGAAAGGCACTTTACATGACTTTCCTCACTTAACTCAAGTGAGAATGAGTATTGTCTGTCCTGTATTTGTATCTATGTGTGGGACATAACACAACACCAGCAACAGCTGTTTTTTTGTCCTATGTGTATTGTATTATTACAATTTCAATAAAATAAAATTTGATGTGTTTGACAGTTGAACTTATTTTGCATACTCTCTTTTCTGTGTAGCCTTTTCAAAAGTATGAGCCAATCGTACGGGACATATCTTTTTGGATTCCGTCTGGGTTTGAACGTGCAGACTTTCTGGACCTTGTCCGCACTGTGGGAGGTGACGTCATAGAAGAAGTTGCTATATATGATGAGTTTGTTCACCCCAAAACAAAGAAGACAAGCAACTCTTACAGGATCAAATACTTCCAGCTGGAAAGGCTGCTTACAAATGAGGAGGTCAACAGCATACATAAGAGAATCCAGGATGCTGCAGTGCAACGGCTTGGTGTTGAGGGGCGCTTTTGAGACATTACCTTGTCATATGTACTGATCCACACAGTTGCTTCGAAGGAAAGTAACTCCAGGCCATAGGATCACAAAGAAAGCTTTGTTTTTTTAAAGATAGTCAAGCTTAGTTTGTGAAATATATTGAACTTGAACAACATATCACGCAGCCCAAGTTATGGATTGCTGCACTTTATTTTACAGCTGTGAAGATTATCTTAGTGGACACAATGCAATCGCTGTAATGTTTATAAATTCAGCCTGACTGTGTTGCATTACTCTTAAATTTTGGGGTAAGGCATTTGATGTGATATAGCATGTAATTTGGTGAAAAATGCTAGCTGAGGGTAGCCATGTGCCATCATCAAGTGGCAGTAAGTTTACTAAATAAACACACTGGCAGCCATTTTGAAAACCTAATGACCCATAACAGATTTGAAAGAAAAATACATTTCACCAGTTTCATTAGAAAACACAGACTATTAGATATTTCATTTCATCATACTATTAAAATTGACCAAACCTTCTATAGCAACATGGATTTGTTTAAGTAGTAACATGAAATCTATATTTTAAATATTTGTGCTATACTAAAAGTACACTATTGAAATTAACAATTCTAATTTTCTTTCCCACGTTATGGAAAATAAGATTGTTACTGCAGTGATTATTTTTGTCAGTGGTGTTGATGTGTTTTGTGTTTTTTTATGGCTATACCGTAGTTACTTTCATACATAAATTATAATTGTATATTTCTCATTTCTGAGAGGATGATACAGCACTAACTAAAATACTCTCATACTTATAGAGGATTTTCTCATATCTGTAGTAGGTACACACATGTACATGAATTTCTATGGCAGGTGCTAAACACATATATTGCTGCTTAAAACCCATTTTCTTCACAAAACTTGGTAAAGTAGGTTACCGGAGGTCATCTGCAGAACAACAGAAGAGACAGGCAAGGCACTGTCACGCCTCAAGGCATATGCCACATTATTTGACCTTTCCCTCTGACTGCCTTGCCCCTTTTGTTATTGTACTGTAATCCGATCTCTTTGGACTGATTTCCTGTCTTTACAACAAGCATATCCTTTACCTTTTGTCTTCTTATAAAAGATACTAATTATTTTTTTCATTGCTATAAAACATGCTATTACTAAATAAAGGTCTATGGCTGTTCATGAATACTTGGTGTTTCACTACACAGAGGGTTTGGCAGTGGATGACTATAAGATGGCTTGACTCTGGTACATCCTATTGTTTGTATCTTTGTATGCATGGGGAACTTGGCATAAATGTCATGCTGACATTTATTTGTCGTGTGTTCAACAATTCAATTCAACAATGACAACAGTTTATAGAAATATAGTAATAAAATTGATCTGCTATCCACATTTTTGATCTGAAAAGGGCAGCCAAATGACCTGTGAAAATTATACTAGTAGTTGTCTTAACAAGGACATGTATGTGGTGGCTTTGATGAGTTTAAAAACTTTGATTGCATGCATGCAATAGAATATATGTTCTGGATTATGTTACTGCCTTACCCTGCCTGTAATCTTGGGGTCTGAGACAATTTTGTGTAATTTTTGGAGAAATAAGTGCAGGGTTGTTCACAACATTTTCCACTTGCCTGCATTTTTGTTGGAGAACAGAACCACACTTCATGCAGCCTTGCCTGGGGCTCTGTCTGTTTAGTTACATTAGGTCAGGTAGATTTGATCTGACATGCAGAATGCGAAGTTGTTTTGTAAATGGTTTCCTTTCATAGTATCTTTATACTTACTATAAATTAAGGCTTGTTCAACATGCTGTATAATACAGGGACTCTTGGGCTTTGCAGACATTTTAATAGGAAAAAAGCCACTGCCTATCTTTACATGTTTATTCTAATGAACAGTAGTACAAGTATTACTATACTTTCTGAATAAAACTGTCACTACTGTTGTTATTTGTGTATGTAGAGAGAGAGAGAGAGAGAGAGAGAGAAGACATTTCACCAAAACAACCTTTTATTTTCCAAGTTGCCTTTACATACATGGTACAAGTAGTGCATCAGCCTTGGTAATGTTAGAAGTACAATTAGTATTGTGTGAGTGCACTGTCTCTGTCCAGAACAAGTTAGTATAAAACTTTCTGAGTTACTCTAAAGGACTAAATAGAAAGGTAGCATTGCAGGGTTGTGCAAAATTGATGATACAAAATGTCTTTTTTTTTCTTTTGTTAACTTTCCATCCCTGTAATTCATTTTTCAGTGATCTTACCAATGAAAGACATTTGGTAAATTTTGCCAACATTGCATAGTCCGTTCTCACTTTATCCCTTATATCATACATGGTTGTTAGTATGATGTACTGTTGTAATTTGCAGCTCAACCAGTACAATCAGAGTTTCATGCATAATTTCCTTTTTAAGATACTCTCTTAAAATGTTTCTGCACACCAGAGAATGAATTGATGTCAGGATTTAAAAGCTTGGCTTGAAATTTTGTGATGTCCAGACAGTTGGATTGGTGAGAAAACCTCTTTGATGCCTCGCCATGAAATTTAATGGAATTGACCATATTCCCATATAAATCTTATATAGCTGTATCAACTTGAAGTGGCTATTTCATGTTCTGAGCATTAGCTACAAAACAGAATCTTTTTCCCTCACTCCAGTTGACTGAGTTGCATTGTAATAGCAGCATACAATCACATGACAATACTGGATGGTTAAGTACCCTTTCCTCCTGCATGTATGTACAATCATGTATATTTTCAGGGCTTCTACTCAGTCTACTGTCATTCAAGATGATGTAACATGCTGTGATTTTTTAATGTTTGAGCATACACCATCTTCACTAAAGTTATGCAGTAGAGGCCACAATATAGGTGCACAGTTAACAGTCATCCTTGAAAAGTTAAATGCCAGGATACTATAAAGTGTGAAATATATGCGGTGGTTTTATGTTTGCAATTCACCCATTGCCCTCTCTGTCTTGCATTCCTATGACTGTTCCAACTTAGCCCTGGGTGCCATCCCACCCGCTCTGGGCCCAGCGACATTAGGGAGAAGGCGGAAACTACAGAGGATAGCACCCAGGCTAGTTCTAACTTACAGTTAACGAACTTAAAATACCACAAATGCCTCCTTTCCCCTCCTACCACAAAATGTAGCAATCACAAACTTTAATAAATGTACTGAAGTAGAAAAAAAGAAATTTAAGGCAATTTTCTGTCCCTCACAATAAGAAATGAAATGGCTATCAAGTACACCATTAATACTGCATCACTTTTAAACCCACAATATCAAGGGTTTGTATTATACACCTTGTTACATCATGATAAAGTGTTATATTCTGAACGTTTTGTGACCTCCAACTAATTGACAAAGTATTTAAGAGCTACAATTTTTACCATTTACCCATGGGAAAAGTTCTGTGCTTTTGTGCATTTTATGCTTGTTAGTGTGAATCTCTTAACAGAGAAGTGAATCTGACTAATATCAGCAGCAGTAATTATTTGTCTTCATATAGTGTATTTAGTAAAGACTTCTTTCAGTATATTATGATAATTGAGCTCTGCATATTCACTGATTGTTTTCTAAACCATACAAATATATAGGATCTTAGAATTCCACATCAAAGCTAGGGTCCCGTCCATAGTAGTCAGACCTCTCGTTGGACTTTGGCGCTGATCTACTGCTCTTCTTACCCTTCTTCTTCGACCGCTTTTCCTCCTCATCCTTCATTCTCTCCAGGTCTGGAAGAAAACAAAATGTTTCATGTGATGATCTTCAATACATTGCATGTACATTAACCTTCAAAGCCTGGCCAACTTGTAGGGAGTATTGTTACAATGCTGAACATATTGTAATGTAATTTCTGGGGCCTTGTACTAACAATAGTAACCTATATGTAATTTTGAGTTAGGAACACTTCTCCAAACTGACTGTTCTACCATGTTATAATAGTGCACAGAAGGTGACATGCAATTATATGTGCCAGACTAAAGTGAGCACTGTTTTATAGTTAAACATTTGTTGACATAACATTACAACATACATAGTCAACCTCTATGCTGTAAGCTTAGGTTAAAGGGTTATGTTTCCAGCCTTAAAACTTAAAGTCCATAAAATAAGATAACAAGCCCAACACATTTTATTGTTTGTACAGTTCATCATGATAATTAACCCATATCTGAAACAAAAAAACAAACTAGCACACAGACAATCCTGATAAAAGATACATGTTAGCATGTTATTACCACCAACAACTAGTTATCAAACCCTTTGAACAGTGGAAGTGAGTCATGGATGGATTTGACTTTTATCAAGTTACATTTTGACTTTGACGATGGCTTCTTCTTCTTTTTCCTCAGTTTCTTTTCTTCTGCTTTCTCTTCTTCAATGGCTTTTTCTAATTCTGAAAGGAGACCAATCATTTGAGTGAAGGAGAAAACACAATAACTGGTCTCCATCTGCCTGTGACTGTGTCCTGCAATGCAACTGAACCAGTTGAAGTGCCTGTTGAATGAAAATGTCTGTTGTGTGTTATTGTTTTTTGTATATTTCAACTTCCAAGACAGAGAATGATTCCTTATGGCCAATTCCCTTTTTGAAGACAAGATTTTGGAACAGTGATCAAAGGAAACCATGCTGAGATGCTTTGAACATTTAATTTTTGATAGTACCAAAACACCTAGCTGCGGGGCAGTCTTTTCATGCAGAATGCACAGATTGCTAGTGCAGCAAGAAAAATACTAGAGAAACTATGGCAATAGTGTAGTGTAGGTTGTCGTTTGTAAATTGGAAAAAAGCCACATTGCAGTCCAGCAGAATACAGGCAGATGGACCAAATGCTTGAACAGAGCTATGTCTTAGTGACTAGCAAATAAGCCATATGCTACCACTGCACCTTACCAACATTAGAACAAAAGAAACTATACAGCATTTATGACACATTCTGTAGCCATCAGCAATACATGAAGTACATACAAAGGAGGCCAGAAGTGTCCAAAGCTACAGCGTAGAACACCACTAGTACTACCACAACATCCAGTAGAGATGGAATTTGCCAGATACAAACGCAGCATCAAGAGAATAAGTCAGCAAATTTTTCACTGTCCAAATAGTCCAATCTCTTTTTTCCCTAAAAGGAAAATGCTTGTTAGAGCATTACCTTCTCTGTAGAGTTTGAGAATCTTGTCCAGATCTGAAAGGGATGCCTTCATGGAGATGGCGTGGAGCATGAGAGTTGTGTAGACATCTCTCATGGTGACGCTGAAGCCCATACACCACGGCACGGGGCTGGTGGGCACGTCCTTGTGTTTGTACAGGTACATCAGCTCCTCAGACATCTTATCCAGCAACTGAAGATTGTCTGGAGATGATTAGAATACATATATTCAGATGATTGCATTGCATGATTGCAGGATATGTCACCTCTAAATTGTTTTTTCTTTCTTTCCCTGACATGTTCATATGTTTAAATTCAGTTGACTTTATGTACTCTTGAGTTGACTTTATGTACTCTTGAGTTGACTTTATGCGCTTTGAATTGACTTTATGTACTTTTGAGTTGACTTCATGCACTCTTGAATTGACCTTTATGTACCAATTATGTTATGTAACACTTTAACATTCTTTTTTGTATGTTTCCAGTATGACATTTGATTTGACTTGGATGTATTATTATATGACTTCTGTACTTATGTTCATTCAGCACATCCCATTGACATGTAACTGAAGGTTGTTTTATATGCTTGTTATGTAAACAACGAATAATGCCTGAGTTGTTCAACGGATTAGCATTACCGTTATCAATGCTTTCTAGAAAATATTTCGTCACAGGTTCCCTCAAAATGAAGAGTTGGAATAACCAACCTTTCCGTGTTAGCTCCTCAGGTCGCAGGTCAGACATGGAGTCGGCTAAGTCCCGCTGTCCCTTGTCCTCCAGTGGCTCGCACTTGACCGCATGGTTGATCGCCTTGTCTGACATGTTCTGAAGCATCTTCAGGAGCCTATGTTTTGTGAACAAATGTGAGAGGTATGTGTTAGTCAACCTTATACATCATACCACAAGCGGTGTAATGTTGACCAGTACCAGTGTGAGTTAGTAGAAACCACTTCTTTTTAAAGTGAAGACTCGCATTAATCGTTGTTACATGTCACTAGTGGTCCTTATCTTCAGTTTTTTTACATTGTGTCATTCTTTAAGCTTCCCAGCCCTGTCAGTTTTTTTTACTCTTTGAAATGTGGAGAATATTCACACCTTTCTGTACTCTGGAGACGCTGAGCTGCGATTTTGATGTCATCAGCTACAGGCTGGGGCAGTTCAGCAGCCCTGCTCGCCTCATCATCTGCATCCTCTGGGTTGGCGTTCATGTCATCTGCCGACCTCAGCGTCACATCTTCAAACTCCCGTGAACGCGGCTTCCTGTCGATGTATATCGCCTTCTCTACATCATCAACATCTCTCCCTCGTCTACTTCGGGCCAGCATCGGCCAGTCTTCGTCAGATGGTTTTGTACCCGGAGACCTCAGATTTAAGCTTGGTGCCCTCATGGCAGGGAGATTCCACTTCCTTTTCTCCTTAGGCTCATCAGACGAACGTTGCTTGTCGTCCTTAGATCTGAACTTAGAGCTGATATCAGGAACACTCCAGGTCTTGGTCTGTTTCTTTTTCTTCTTCGGCTCAACAACCTCAGGTTCTCCGTTTGTCATTTCAGCCTCAGATGTTTCCTCTGAACTCTTCTCTTTCCTACGACCCCAGTCTGGGCCCTTGAAGTTGAGGTTAGGAGCATGAAACTCAGGGACTTTCCACTTTTTCTTTTCCTTGTCTTCTTCCTCCTCCACACCATTGATTTCTGTAGGGTGCTCTCTATCAGGACTCTTATCTCTTCTAAAGTTCATGTCAGGCATATGAATCTCTGGTATCTTCCACTTTTTGCTGTCTTTTGTGTCCTCTGGTTTCTTGGTGTCTTCCGAACTTTCATCTCCCTGCTTTGTCTCTTCATTCTTCCTTCTAGGCATCTTCCAGTCAGGGGCTTTGATATTTGGTGCATGAAACTCTGGGAACTTCCACTTCTTCGTTTCACTTTCTTCACTCAATTCCTTTTCGTCGTCTGGCTTATTGAGGTCTTCAGAAGACTTGGCCTCTTCTACGTTTTCTTGACTTTTGTTTCGTTTTGTTGACCAGCTTGGAAGCTTGATGTCAGGTGCCTGGAATTCTGGCATCTTCCACTTTTTGTCTTTTTCTTCCTCTGGTTCCTTCTTTTCCTTTTCGGTGTCCAAAGATTCAGTGTCTTCCACCCTTTCCTGACCTTTATCTCTTCGTATTTTCCAGTCTGGAAGTTTGATGCCAGGTGCGTTGAATTCTGGCATCTTCCACTTCTTGTCCTTTCCTTCCTCTGGTTCATTCTTTTCCTTCTCTGTGTCTGAAGATTCGGTGTCTTCCACCTTTTCCTGACTTTTAGTTCTTCCTATCTTCCAGTCAGGTAGCTTGATGTCAGGTTTATTGAATTCTGGCATCTTCCACTTCCTGTCCGTTCCTTCCTCTGGCTCCTTCTTTTCCTTCTCTGTGTCTGAAGATTCGGTGTCTTCCACCTTTTCCTGACTTTTAGTTCTTCCTATCTTCCAGTCAGGTAGTTTGATGTCAGGTGCGTTGAATTCTGGCATCTTCCACTTCTTGTCCTTTCCTTCCTCTGGTTCCTTCTTTTCCTTCTCTGTGTCTGAAGGTTCGGTGTCTTCCACCTTTTCCTGACTTTTACTTCTCCCTATCTTCCAGTCAGGTAGTTTGATGTCAGGTTTATTGAATTCTGGCATCTTCCACTTCCTGTCCTTTCCTTCCTCTGGTTCCTTCTTTTCCTTCTCTGTGTCTGAAGATTCGGTGTCTTCCACCTTTTCCTGACTTTTAGTTCTTCCTATCTTCCAGTCAGGTAGCTTGATGTCAGGTTTATTGAATTCTGGCATCTTCCACTTCTTGTCCTTTCCTTCCTCTGGCTCCTTTTTTTCCTTCTCTGTGTCTGAAGATTCGGTGTCTTCCACTTTCTCCTGACTTTTAGTTCGTCCCATCTTCCAGTCAGGCAGTTTGATGTCAGGTGCATGGAAGTCTGGCATCTTCCACTTTTTGTCCTTCTCTTCTTTTGATTCCTTCTTTTCCTTGGCTGTTTCTGTAGATTCAGTGTCTTCCACCTTTTCCTGACTTTTATTTCCTCCCATCTTCCAGTCAGGCAGTTTGATACCCGGTGCATGCACCTCTGGCATTTTCCACTTCTTTTGGTTCTCTTCATTCTCTTCCTTCTTTGCTGGGACCTCCTTATCTGCCGGTTTCGATATTCTTTTCTCCTTTTTCTCCTCTGGCTCCATGATGTTTTCCTGAGACGCGGACGCAGATGAGCGCCCAGGACTTTTATCCCGTCCAAAACTCCAATCGGGAAGCTTCCATCCCTTCTTTTCTGATTCCTCCTTCGGCGACTGTTCATTAGCAGGCTGTGTATCACGGTGAGGACTTCTGTCCCGCTTCATCCAGTCGGGGCTTCTAATGTCAGGAGTGCTAAAGAATTCCTTCCACCCCTTTCTTCCCCTTCTTTTCTCATCTTCCTTACCCTTGTCTGGTGTCTCATCCTCAGATGCGCTGCCTGGGCTTTTCTCCCGCCCGAACTTCCAATCCGGACTCTTGAGATGGATGTCGGGGATGTTGGGAAGTTTCCAACCTTTCTTGTCACCATCTTTCTCTTTGATAGGTTCATCTTCCACCGGAGACTCCATTTCCGCGTCATACCCCGGTTCCTTCTTGCGGCCCAACTTTGGTGATCTTAGATTCCAGTCCGGTAGTTTCCACCCACTTTTCTCCTTTTGTTTTGGTTCGACATCAGTGTCAATGTCAAGACTGTCGCTGAAGTCATCCGACTCAATAGTAACATTGCCAGCTTCGTCTTCTGTTACAACCACTGTATCTGGCAATGCATCGTCATGGTATTCAGTCTTCTTTTCTGATGCCTTTGTGACTCCAGCTTTATGGCCTTTCTCTTCGTCTGGGCTCTTTTTCTCATCTCTCCCCTTCACCCCAGCTATCAGCTGCTTCCAGCTTTCTGAGGCTGCGTGAGCAGCTCTGTTTGCACCTTCTTTCGTCGCCTCAACTGCTTTATCAGCTGTTTCTTTAGTCCTCGTTGCAGCCTTTTTCGCACCCTCTTTTACCTTGTCCGCAACTTTGGGCTGCTCGTCCTTTCGGGCAGCGCGCTCTTCGTCGGATGTTACCTCTGGAACTGTGTCCAGCTCGTCGTCGGATTTGCTCTGCTTCAGTCTATCAACAACATCACGCATCCAGCCACCTTTCTTCTCCTTTTTGCCTTCGTCAACATCTGCTCGTTCTTTATCTGTCTCCTCTTCGGAATCGCTTAAGGCACCTTTAGTGCCCGTTTTGTCATCCTTCTTCTTTGTCCTTATGGCTTCGACAAAATTAGCTACCCATTTACGCTTCTTATCATCCTCATTGTCACCCTTCTCTGCTTTGTCGGGTTGGCTTTTCTCAGCTTGTTTGTCTTTCTTCTTGAACAAGTCAGTGAAGGAAGAAGTTTTCTTTGTCGGTGACGGCGAAGACCGCGGGGGTAGCTCAGGTGCAGCGGAATCCTGGGCTGCGTCTTCCTGCACGTCAGCATGTCCCCAGTCCCGCGGAACGTCGTAGATGGGTTCACTGATGAGCGGATCACTGAAGTGAACACTCGGGGAAGATTTAGTCTCCTCAGCTGCCCTTGGTTTAGTCGGGGAACTGTACATGTCTCCAACAGGTGCCTCCTGTCTACGTGAACGGTCATCACCGAAGTGAACACCTGGCGAAGATCTAGTCTCTTCAGCTGCTCTTGGCTTCGTCGGCGAACTGTACATGTCTTCATCAGGTGCCTCCTGTCTACGTGGACGGTCATCACTGAAGTGAACACCTGGCGAAGATCTAGTCTCTTCAGCTGCTCTTGGCTTCGTCGGCGAACTGTACATGTCTTCATCAGATGCCTCCTGTCTACGTGGACGGTCATAAGTAGGAGAGGATGAATCTTCTTCTGCCGCTTTGGTCTCTTCCGCAGGTCCCTTGTTCCACGGTTTGAAGATTGGTTTGTCGTCTTTCTTCTCGATACGAACTTTTTCATATGGCCCTTTTGGAGTGCTAGATCGTACCGCCGGCTTCTCTGGGGTATTCGTCTTAGCAGGGCTTATGGTAGTGCTGTACGAACTCTTGAAAGTGGGTGCTACTTCGCCCAACTTAGCCTCCAACTTTTCAGCAGCTTGGTCCATATTCTTTTCGATAAAACGCTTTTCGTCTTTTGGAGAGAGGAAGGGCTGTGTAACAGTATCTCGTTCGGGTGAGGAGCTGGGTCGTTGGGAGTCTTCCGGCTTTCCAGGTCGCGTATCTGCAGTCTTTGGTGCTTCCCGACTGAGAGACTCCTCTGGCTTAGCTGAACTGTAACCAGTAGGGGTATGGCGGAAGGAGTCTCCCACCGTCTTTGGACTGTCGTCACCAGCTGTCCTAGGGGAGTAAGGCTTCGAGTATAAACTGGAGCTCGACCTGTCAGGAGAACGAGTTGAGCTGACGTCCTGCCTTTTCTCGCTTGGTGTGCCAGTCGTTGGTGACAAAGGCGATCGGGAGTCTCGTGGCTGCCTATTGTCATAGGTGTTCGGTGGAGATGAGTACGAATCAAACGACTCGTCAGGCAGCGTTCGACTTGGTGAAAAGGACTCATCAGTCAGGGTTCGACTTGGTGTAAAGGACTCGTCAGGAAGCGTTCGACTTGGCGTAAACGACTCGTCAGGAAGGCTTCGACTTGGTGTTTCTGTAGTGGATGACGTGTACGACCTGAAAGAGTCGTCCGGTTTGCTATTGCTCCGGTTATCGGTGGGTCGGTCTTCTCTAGGACTTGTTCCAAGCCTGCTCGAGGCTGGGGTAGAGCTTCGGATGGGAGAATCTTTGACTCTGTTGTCTTGTGACGGGGACGAGTGTGAAGGATGAATTTTATCTTCGACCTTTGTCGTTGATCTGTCTAGAGGCGAGGTGGATGTCTGGGGAGAAGATTCAGGCTTCTTTTTCAGCGATGATTCCAAGTTATCTAATTTGGAAAACAGCCTGTCTAGCCTGGCATCCACGTCTGACAAAGGTGGTACCTCACGTTCGTCAGCAGCAGCGGTACTGCTTGGTTTTGAATAAGTAGGAGAATACGGCGGTGGATCACGCTCCGGGACGTTCCTGTCCGTTGTAAGACTGGGCGTCCCTGGTGAGGATGAGACCCTTTCCTGTGGTTTAAGCGAGGAGGGCTCTACTTTAGGGACCCTGTCTGTGCCGGTCCTGCTCTCTTGGAAACGGCTTTCTTTTTCTCTGCTTGGCTCGTCTTTTGATGTCTTCGGTGAGGACGAGATCCTATCGTGTGGTTTCAGGGAAGAGGGCTCTACTTTGTCAGGAGCCTTGCTTGGACTGGTCCTGCTGTCGTGGACATGGCTTTCTTGATCCTTGCCTGGCTCGTCTTTTGAAGGCTGTTCTTCTCGCATTGCCGTCTTACTGGCTGGTTCAGAAGGTGATGTTGTCAATCCCTGTGTCCACTTTTCCAGCGCACTTTTTGGAGTCTCACGCCACCTTAAGGAGAAAGGTTCCCGATACCCCGTTATGTTTGTGTACTGAACAAATTACATGGCTCCAATTTATCTAATGTAGCTACTTATACAAAGAGACACTCTACGTCTTCTTCTCAAACTAATCATTGTAACAATATCCTGTAACAATATCTTGTTTGATATAATAAACAGATCACATGTTTTGTGCTGTAGTATAGCAAGATATAGTTGAACTCCCATTTTGTTCCAAGGACAATAAACTGAGACACATCACTACTTATATGGCGGGATTCAAAAGCTAAAGCGAAAGTAACTTACCTTATACGAGTCCCTGGTTTGATATCCTTGATGTTATACTTGTCCGGGCTTACTGAACGCCTTGTGTCTTGCGTTGTCTGGGGTTTCTCATCTAACCGGGCTCTTTTCGTCTCAGGAGAAGCGGGACCCGATGCTCTTTGTTCTGTCTGGGTTAGCGGAGACTTATCCTTTGTCTGAGCCTCGCGTTTTGCCAGGGTGGTGGTTGTGTCCATCTTGGATGATGTCGTGTCCTCGCGGACGTTAGCTGGGGCCGGGGACTTTGTCGGCTGGGAGGTCGGACGTTTCTCCGCTTGAGGCTTGGTGAAACTGCTGATGTTGCTGGCAGCTGTGTGGGCGAAGGGAACAAAATGTAGTTTCGCTAGGGTTTTGACACCTACTTATGATAACTAACTTTCATTTCAGATCGACTGGTCAAGGGACTGTTGGTCAGCCATTTTGACTCGAGGCCAGGGACACCGGAACACGGCATAAGTCAAGTAAGTCAAGGTCAATGTACATTGTAGTAGAAGGATATCAAAGACGAAGAACAAATCTTCGATCGTTTCCCAACCTTATTCCCTGTTCAAACAGCAGATCCTACCACCCACACCATGCGCCAGAAAATGTGTTAGCGTATAGCAGTAAGATGAGGATTCGTTTGAGGTGACGATTGCCCTATGTATTCCTGTTCCCGTGGAGTAGTGAAAAGGAAGATGCGAAAGAAACCCTTGCATGCAAACTACCGCCAAACGACTGCCTTCAAATTTTTATCTTACGTTCTGTGTTCTTTTCTGCCGAGGACGCCGCCTGGTCCAGTCCATCCGCCTGGCTACCCTGGCCGCACTCCCGCAGGATACCGAGGAATGCCTCGTGGCCCTCGTTACTGCGGGTTGTCAGGTAGTTCAGAAGCTTCTCGTTCAACTTCTTCTTCTTTTCTTGTGCCAAGAGCTGCAAAACGTATTGTGAACAGATTAGTTTACCTTAGGAACCTTAATAATATGTCAGATAATGCTAAACTGCACTTTATTCTTAGAGGCTCCATATTGTTACCCTCTATGTACAACTTTAAAACGATGCAACTCACTCAGATTTACATTGGAGATACCAAGCGCCTCTAGCTCTGCTTGACTGTTTCTAACAGTCAATTAGATATAGAAGTCCAAATACTACATGTGTTAATGGGCCTAAATTCTCCTCCTAGCTCTGATTGGCGGATGTTTTTCCGCCAGTGATGATCTTGGGGTGGTGGGACTACGGAGCACAGATATGTCAACTTTGTCAAATATTTAAATGTTAATTGTACTTTTTTTGTTGTGTGGCGCTGTTAATATAAGTTGTCAACTTGAGTGCAGCGTCACACTGTCCTTGTTATGTTTTCATGTTTTGATGAATAAAAAAAATCAGATTAGTTGCCTCGATACCTGTCTCAGCGAGCTCGAGAAATAGACTTTCATCGGGTAGCTCAGCAAAGTTTTGGCATCAAAACAATGACTTATGCTTGAATTGCTAAAGAAGATATGTAAATGATCGCATGGATCTATACGACAAGACACTCACCTCCTCTACCTCAGCATCCTTAATCATGCCGGAGTCCACCAGTGTGCGGTACAGTGGCAGAGGCTGCATGTTCTGCATCAGGAGGTTACGGTTTACCGTCACAGCTTCCTCTGTCGTTCCTATATAGAGTAGATAGTTAGTTACTAGAAGTTAGTTTAAAATCTTAGCATCCCTAGATGACAGAAAAGGTACAAAGCTTGCTTGTCTTACTGAATATTGGTACTGTATGTGACGATTAATTTCTGTATAAATTGCTATGCATGTCTACGATTCTTTGCTGCGACTGTGGGATTCTCACGCTTTATTATGATACGGACATGGACTTTAACGAAGACCTCCAATAAACTACGAATTCGCTATTGAGTTGCCATACTTAACACGTTGTCATACTATACAGCGTTTTCATTCATATGTGTAGGAGAAACAAACCGACCTTTCATCTTCTTCTCAGTCTTGTCGATGGAGTCTGCCAGGAATCCCTGGCCGCTGCTCTTCAGCGTGTCCCTCAGGATGTCATAGGCCGGTTCCCCTTGTGGGGGGAGGGCGTTGATCATCCTCTCATTGAGTTGCCTGTATGGAAAGACACAATGATATGGAATGTAGTGCAGTTGTGTTAAAGTTAAAGGTTCCCTATTGACGATATACAGATTCGGTGTATACACGTATATCCGTACTGAAGTGTCTTACTCTGCTTAAAATACACGAAATTAAGGTCACAAGGTTTAAGGTATGATTTAGCAGGCGTTGTATTGGTCCAGCTCATTCCACAGTTGCCTGGTGAGGTCAGGCTGTCGTTTACATCGATGACATAACATTTTCTATAATTATATAGCTTGGCACAGCTTTGTGTTTGCTAATGGTCATGTCACGACGTGTTATACGAGCATGTTTAATGAACAGGTTCAACCACTAGCCACGGGCTCTTAAAATCTTATTTTTATTCTAACAGTTCATGACTGTTACATGGTGACGGCACACTCAAGTTTTTTTCCAACTTATTTTATGTCACCACTAACGCAGAGGACAAACACAGAACAGGACAATACTTATTTTCACTTGAGTTAAGTCAGGAAAGTCCTTTTAAGATCGGTGGCATGTCAGGACTCGAACTAGGGACCTCTTGGTTCCGAGTTAAACACTCTGCCGTAACGCCACACGACCCACAAAATTGTTTGGTAAACATGGAACTTCATTCCACAGAGTAAGTACCGTGCCGTACATACCTGCGAACGTCCTCCGGTAGCATGTAGTCTGCCATGCGCTGTTTGAGCAGTCCCTTGTCCACCATGGTGCTGATGATGGGTAGCGGGTCCATCTCGTTGACCAGGGCGGGCCGCTGCCGGGACAGCGCCTGGATGTACTCGGTCTTCATGCTGCCGTGTGTCTAGTTCCGCAACCCAACTGACGAAGGGTTCTTAAACCCGTATGCCCTCGCTAAATCAGACGTGGAATAGATATATTAGATATTACACGACATTTATGGCTATCTACAGCTAAGACTGAGATTTACATGGATATACTGTTGTCTGCATTGTGGGAAATGTCAGCGTATACTAGTTATCTTGCGGATACAAGGGGTACAATTCACACTTTCAGAGCTAACCATTATGAACACGACGGTACATTAGGTAAATTTAGATGTTTAGATGCTTTTTTGCCATTTACTTGTGGACATGGGACCTTGTTGTTTGTTTTGCATCTATATAATAGAGCCCATACCTTTTGATTATCAGTACTAGAGCCTCCTATCTATTCCTGGAACAGCTCTTACGTATATACTGTGGCCTGTGCCTAAGCATGCGTGACTGGGGTGCGGCAGATTTTGAAGTTACGTTACGTCAGTAGGATGAGTGTCTCAGACTTCAAATTGTTTGTACTTAGGCCTTATGTTGGATATATTGACACAATGAATGGTCATGCGATATGATGAAGGTACGCACAGATGAAATCACCATGTATGGATGTGTATGACATAAGACAGAAGAACTGGATTTAGTCATATGATAGCTTCTTTTGTTTGAAAGTATGTCAATACCTGCTGGTCCGGAATATATTGTCATTGGATAAGATTAATGCTAGCTTGGCTGATCAACTACTCCACTTGAATAAGAAAGTAATGACCACATTATCACATGCAAGTTGGATGCAATTTCCAAGTACACGTGTATAATCTAAGCTAATTTATCGGCCGGAAGTGTTCTATTTCAGGAAGCAAATTCCAGGTAATTATTGGAATGGAGCACACGGCATCTGGGTGTTTTGGTTGTATTTCTTTTCACAGAGAATTCTTGACGTAAGGTCTATGCACTTGCATTAATTAACGTTGTTATTTCTCACCTCTTATAGAAACAACTAGCGTCACCAGATCTCACACCCATTTGTTAAGTCGGTTAAAGTCATAAAGCTATATGCAAGCTGACAGGGAAGATGTGACATGTTTGCCCAAGCGTTGTTTCTGATCTGACCTGACCCCTTTTAGCTTGGCACCTGACGTGCCGGTCTCCATACCCGTCACGTATGTCGTCCAATATGTACGGCTAACGACAACAACAAAAGTCTGCTTTATCCTTAAACACCATTTGTAGAAAAGTTCGGACAAGCATAATGGAGTCTTTGACGCATTTCGTAACTACTAGATGATTGCTTGTAGCGATAGCACTACGGAGTTATTCGTACCTTGGGGGGCGTGTACTGAACACTGCAGGCAACTTGGCCAGAAACATCGTACTTAGGGAATGTTAAAGGATGACAGGTAACAAGAACATAGACCATGTACTACTTACCCTCTTCAGGCAGCGGGGGTGATTCCTTAGACTGGATGCCGTAAGCTCCCTGGGGAAAGTTTACGGAGCGGCTCCGTGCGCTGAGGCCTAGGCTGGCGCTAGCCTGCTGTAGCGATGTGATGGTGTCTGCACACTGATACAACTCGTCCGACCACTGGCGTCCCAACCTCTGCCGTCACTCACCTACGTGCGTCGCTTGCAAATTACCCGCATTTGTTTACCTTCAGAAAACTTTAAAATGCTAATATTTTATCAAGCGCGCCTGCTTTTCAATGAATTGATTCTGGAATGAGGTTACACGTACAACATTTAGATGAGACTTACTAGATGTTTATACTTGTGAGAGCAAATTGTTGAATTCAAAATATCGTATGGCTTTCCCTTCTAATTAGTCTAATTATATACCCTCTGTATCAATAACGTTTCATTACAGAACAATGCATTTGTATCCATAACGCGTCCTTAGTTGGTAAAAAAAACATCACAGGTTAAACTTCGGTTGCAGACAGGTCTTGATGTGTGGAAAGAAGCCATCTCCTGCTATTGTGATTGTCCAGTGGCGCGTGTACCGCAGTACAGATCACAGAACACGGAGAATCCAGGCGCGAGGAGGCGAACAGAGCTGGAGGGTGATCCGGGACACTCCAGTGGTAACACAAACAATAATGCTCTGTACTGTTTCAAACTCAAACTATTCTGACGCTTTCAGGCAACAACGCCCCCTTTGCTTGACCCCCGGGCCTTTTCATATATCCTAGATTTAAATGACAGTTATATAGATGTCCCATATCAGATGTCATGATGAGAGACAGTCATAGATATTTGCAGCTAGTTTAGCATATTGCTCCGCTTGGATAGGCGTGACAACGTGTGTGGACCGTCCGCCAAGCGCCCTCCCCACTTGTTCCTGATCTGACCTCAACAGGTGGGCACCTAACCACCCAAGAGTGAAGTCAGGACAACCACTTTCCCCCCAGCCACATTTTAAAGACGGTCGGGCATATTGCCTCGACGACATTCCTGCAGTTTTCCGATACCCCGCTGGAGGATACTGCGCCCTACTAACCTGGTTGTCTCGTACATACCACAAACAGGAGAAAGTAGCACATCGTCCTGTTGTTATACTTTCGTCAAGCTTGACTGGGTCTTTAACATGGCAAGCATTTATGTATGTTCAAGTTTGGCTACAAAAAACTAGAACACTGTCAAGTTGGTCTGACAGGTGTCCAAATAACGTGTTCTGCAATTTTTCTGGGCTTTGAAATTTCTTAATCACTTCGGCTGCTTGTACTTTACACAGTCATGGCTGTAATAAGTGGTACATTCCAATGTTACTGCAAAGCTAAGGATGGTTATGGCATAATGATGTATACATGGGGCATCTGACCACATCTGAATGAATATATATCGCCTTTCAAAACAAGTATAGAGCAAGAGAATAATGATAGACATTACCAGCACACCAGGTACAAATGTTTTTCAACCTTTACTTTATTCCTATCGCCCATAGCTTTTTGATACACCGTAAGACCCGACTCATATCAGGTACAACAATTCGTTAAGCCAGATATAAATTAGCAAGTCCAATCCAATACACGATGTTTCATATTACAAGTGTGCAAGGAATAGATTACTTTGAGGATTTCGCCTTTGTGGCAATTCCATTACAGCCCATAACAACGCCATGTTGGCTTCCCATGATGCACATGTTGGCTTCCCATGATGCACGTCTCGGTCATGTGATCAGGTGCCCTACGTCGTCATATCCTGTCATATATGCACACCGTGACCACTTACCTTAATACCTTTCGCAATAGTGACAAAATTATACAACATTGCCATATCCGATTAGATTAGATTAGATAAAGTCAATGCATTCTATGTACGCTCGTATACTCGACTTTGTTTCCTTCTTAGTGTTTTTAAAGATTTTTTTAGTCATTTTTCTCATCCCATGATAGAAATATGTATCTCGCGGCTCCTGTAATATGAGAGACTGTTTTCTTTTTCATTTCTATGTTCAACATAATTCTACAACCAAAAACACGAATTGGTTTCATCTTATATTGACAATACAAGATCCCGGTATATTTGTTTATCATATTTCCACGTAATGCGTACGTATACCATACACTTTATACCTAGATATGAGCCTTATGTTAACTAATAATACTTTGACCAGTCCAGGGCTGATCCACCATATCAAGACATATTCAATTCACTTATATGAAATTTATGTGTACAAATCTGTCTGCATTGATATTAGACATATTGCTAGTTCCCATACTTGTAATTATTCCTTTTTACCCGTTTTACATTGGTGTCCGTCTCCCCATCTTCTGTTTGCTTTGCTATGTTAGTTGTGATTTCTTCATTTGTATACATTCTGTTTTGTACACACAGGTGGTAATACATCATAAAACTTGACCAGTTATTCTATTATTAGATCCAGGAAGATTATCTTCTCTCTGGTGGAATCTTCAAGATGCTGGCCAGTTCATTTCAGCTCCTTGTCCACGTATCGTCTCAGGTGTTTATCTGTCAGAAAGAGTCAAATATTATCAAAATTACTTCTGGTGTTTTAACATAACCTATGACAATCATTACTGTGTTTGTAACAAAAATGATATAAATGCCATGAATAGCATTTTATTAGTGATTTTGTAATGCCAATGAAATCAGTATATAAGTTTTCTCAGTAACAAACTCTCAATATGAAAGGAACTAACAGGTTTAAGGCACAATCATGATATTGAAATGAAAGAAAAGTGGTAGTTATCTTCTTCTTTAATGCCCACGATCATGACAATGATCATTCTGGTAAACTCATTTTCACCTGAGTAAAGTGAGGAAAGTCGTGTTAAGTGCCTTTCCCAATGGATCGGTGACATGACATGATTCGAATTCGGACCTCTTGGTTCTGAGCTGAATTGTCTGCCGCTACGCCACACGACCCCTCAATTATTATTACTATTATCATATTGGTCTTGCATGAAGTTAAAGACAGAAGTAGTTTTGTAGGATATTTAGTGTTGTGAGCTGACCTCTGCGGTACATCTTGAGCGTGCTCTCCAGCTCGGCCAGAGCGCTCCTGGTGGAGATGGTCTGCAGCATCAGCGTGTTGTAGGTGTCGTGCATGGCCGTGTTGACGTTCGCGTACCAGGCCGGCGCCTGGACCTGATCACTGGTGCGCTGCTTCTGTAGGTATTGCAGTTCCTCCGTCATCTTGTCCAGGAGCACCACACCCTCATCTGTGGTGTCATCGGATTATACCGTCAGTTCTCAAAGAATGCAATATTTGGTAGAGTCGTAAGTCGCGGAAGTTTGATCATCAATGTTTCTAAATCTTTACCCAACAAACGAGACCCTAGCATAGTTTTTCCGGCATTCATGGCATACAATGTCCGATGATATAGACTATACATATACAATACCAGGTGCAGGGTTACTTGCCCAACTTTTGCCCATATGCAATAAAACCGTAGAAAGGACATGAACGCCCATTACGCACCATTCCTAGGTTCCTTCCCCGGGGTACGGATGAGCTTGGCCAGGTCTTTTTGTCCTTTGTCCTCCAAGTTCTCCTTCTTCACAGCGTGGTACAGAGCTTTGTCTGTCATGTCGTGCAGGAGTTTCAGCATGCGCTCATTCTTGGCGATTCTATTATGGGAACAATGGCAGTCAAGTCGTTAGCAACTGTAGTTAGTGTTGAAGGGATTGTATATGGCCTTTGGCAAACAATGAACACCAATTAATTTGTTTAGACACAATAAGTTATTTGCAGATCTTGAAACGTCGCTACACTCACCTTGCAGCGGCCTCTTTCATTTCCTTCTCCATCTCGGGCGTCACTGTCTGTTTATCGGACGTTTTGGTCGGTTTGCCCGTGGTCTTGTCCGGAGCGGACAGGTCTTCCCTTGACTTGCGGAAGAACCGATCCAGGAAAGAGGACCTCTTCCTCCTATCGATGTCGTCGTCATCGGAATCTGACGATGTACCGGGTTCGTGACCGGAGTCGACAAACGGCATCTTCGCCTTGACCCTGGGGTCGGCGTGCACTTCATCAGACCTCTGCAGCTGGACGTTCGGAGCGGACATGTTTACGTCGCCGCCTTCGATGCTCACGTCGTTGTCGTTGGGCGAATCCAAGTCGTTGGAGGACTTCCTAAAGCTCCAGTCTGGTCTCTTGAAACCCCATTTCGGCGGACTCTTGAGTTCTGGTCCATTGCCCTCAAACCTTGGCTTTTGGAAGCTGATGTCTGGTGCGGAAAGATGCGGTCTCGACATGTTGACATCCGGCATCTCCAGGTTGGGTTTCTTCACGTTAAGATTGGGCGATTTGAAGCTTGGTTTCTTCAAGCTCCATCGTGACGGCTTGTCAACCTCTGGGCCCTCGTAGTCAGGAGACTCGACATCGGCATCACCTTTTGAACCCCAACTCGGCGCTTGTAGGTCGAGAGATGGCTTCTTGATGTCAGGCCCTTCAAAACTTGGTTTCTTCAAGTTGAACTCAGGTGCCTTCCAGTTTGGTTTCTTAATGCTCCATCGTGATGGCTTGTCAACCTCTGGACCCTCATAATTAGGAGACTCGACATCGACATCACCTTTGGAACCCCAATTCGGTGCTTCTAGGTCGAGAGATGGCTTCTTGATGTCAGGCCCTTCAAAACTTGGTTTCTTCAAGTTGAACTCAGGTGCCTTCCAGTTTGGTTTTTTAATGCTCCATCGTGATGGTTTGTCAACCTCTGGACCCTCGTAATCAGGAGACTCGACTTCGGCATTGACATCGGCATCACCTTTTGATTTCCTGAAGCTCCAATTCGGTGCCTTCAGGTCGACCGATGGCTTGGTCCACTTCGGCTTATCAATGGTCGGCTGCCCACTCTTCCAACGTGACTCCTCCACACCATCTACATCAAGAGGCTCGAAGCTCACGTGGCCCTTCTTGGGTTTCCGCATTCGTAGGTCGGGCTCGGACCCGGCGAACTTGGGCTGCGTGGGCAGATCTTGGTCGGAAATACTCGAGGATGATCCCTGCCAATCCTTCTTCTTCCCTCCGAACTTCTCGTCCATGTAGTCCTTGACCTTCTCCGTGAAGGTACGTTTCCGCGGGATCTCGCCGGTGGAGGCAGACAGTCCCTCACGATTGAGGGAGGGGTCGGTGGAGTTGTCGCTGGAGCGAGGAGACCCCTTGTAGCTTTGTTTCTCTGGGCGGGAGAATGGCGACGATCCCTCTGAGAACCCAGGCGGCGGTGCGGAGTGAGCCTCGTCGGCATACCTGGGAGTTTCGAGCGGTCCTGGGCCGAGATGTCGCGGCCTCTCGCTGGAGAACTCGGGAAGTCGAGCAGAGTGAGCTTCGTCTGCGTGCCGAGGGGCTTCTACCGGGAACCCCGGGTCTTGGGAGGGAAAACCCGGCTCTTTGCCTGAATGGGCTTCGTCTGCGGATTTCGGGAATGTCATGTACCCATTTGTTTGCCTCCCATCCGAATCCCCTGTAAAGGAAGATTTGAACAATGCATGTGATACTACACAATATACACAATTGCAATGACACGGCATAGGGTCAAAGCATTCCTTTCGGAAATTTATCATTGGCAATGATTAACGGGGTGAGGGGTGCGGATGGAAGAACTAAGCAGACAGGAAGATAACAAGACAGACATACTAAGCACATCTGGCCGTGGCCCGGTCCCGGTCCCTGTCCCGGTCGGCTGCGTCTTCTTCCCGTCCATGTATTTCAACAGGTGATCTTGGTCGCTTTCTTCCAGGGCAAACTTCAGGATGTCGTACCCTTGGTCATCTCTGTAATGACAGATGGTTTTAGGGAAGATGAAAGTTTATCTTAACACTTTGGAAGCCTATGTGAAACACAATGTGGCATACTCATTTTCACCTGAGCGAAGTGAGGAAAGTCGTGTTAAGTGCCTTTCCGAAGGGCACAAGGTTGGTGTGAATGGAGAATTCGAACTCGGGACCTCTCTAGTTGCCGTTACGCCACACGACCACACGGCTTGCCATCGATATCATTCCAGGATAAAAAAATCGTACCTTTCGGGAAGGATATCCAGCAGTCGTTCGTTGACCTTCTCGCGCTCTCCCGGCGGCAGGAGTCTGTCCATGTCGTCCAGGTCAAACACCTTGTTCTGGTGGAACAGGCCGAAGAGCGTGAGGGGCTGCATCTCACTCACGATCCGCTCGCGGCGCTGTTCCAGCCTGTCCTGTAGGACCGGGTTCATCTTGTTCTTGGCCAGGGGGATCTGTGGGGAAAAGAGTGGTGGTCATCAGTCATACATTATCCGTAAGTAAACATCTCAATAGAAAAAGTGTCTTAGATGTCGACTAGGAACTTTTTAAGAATTAGTCATTCTCTATATAGAGATGTGATCTAAGATATTACTCTGAGCCATCTATAGATGAGCAATTTTAAAAGGAATTGGATAGAGCCTGAAGGTTATCAACCCCTGTGTTAACTTAGGTAAAAAAATAGCTCTCTAATACTTTCGTACTCCCGTGTATTTTTGGCACTGTTGGTGTTAAAGTGTTATGTGCAATAGCAGCAAAACTATACAACGTACCGTGCCGATTAACTTGGTTATTGGTTCTGGAGAAGTTGGGTAGGATGGATCGTACTCTGTGGGGATTAAAGAGTAGTCAATTATTGACTGTGCAGTCACCAATCAATCATCCAACTAACCAACCAACAAACAAACAAACAAATCAATCAACAAACCAAGCAAACAACCATGCATCCATCCATCCACGGCCAGTCATCCATCCATCCAATCAACTATCCAACCAACCAACCATACATGTAGATAACGTTACAAGACTACACTCCTGCTGTGTCGCTTTTGATTAAAATGCTAGAATAAAAGTTTGAGAATACAGTTCACATCGCAACATGCTTTCGGGTTTAACGAGACAAAAAAGGGTGTGAATTTCATGCGTCTTATTAGGATAGATACATATAATGTTAGGTGTGTACATTTTAATGATTCTTCTGAATACGGAGTGGGATCGAGAAAGATATAATTCCAAAGTCGTTACGTATACAGAAACAAGACGAGCACAGGAAAAAAGACCACACAACCAAACTTAACACTATCCGAACCAACTCTTGCATTTGCTTCTAAACCCACACCAACTAAATGCCCGCGTAGAGCTTGCTTTTACCCTTGTCGGCATGGGGCGATCCCACACCATCATCTATAAAAGAGAGAGAAACAGTTTATTCTTACACCAGCCCACTTAACACGCAGCCCAATAGGAGCTGATGCACAAAACATTAACCACAGCAAGTATAGATAGGGAGTAAATCTCATCTTAACACAATAACAGATGGAGACTCCTCCTGATAATACTCCAGCATTAACCATAACATGGAATCATCATTGACGTAGTTATGGAATAAATCATCGAAACCCGTGGTTACAACTTGAATAGAAAAAAAGTCTCAGAGAATACTGTCATTCTACATATGTACTATTAGCTAATGTAAAGAGTATATGTTGTTGTCTAGTCTCCTATACCCCGTACCTTTCTCCAACAGCTCCTTGAGCTGAGGCTGATGATGCTCGTTCAGGGCAAACGTGAAGACGTTGAAGGCCTCGTCCCCCTTGGTGGGCAGCTCGTCCAGGACCTTCTCGTTCAGCTGCAGACGTTCCTTGTGCGGAAGGATGTCGTCCAGTTGGTCAGACGTCAGGATGCCGTTTTGGAACAGCAGTCCGAAGACCGGCAGGGGCTGCATCTCCTTGACCAGCGGCCCGCGGGCCTCCTCCAGCTTCTTCTTTACCCGGTCCCGCATGGCTGGAGCTGTTCTGTCGGCTTCTCTTCTGTAATTAGAGCGTCTGGTCAATCTATTGTCAGTGATGTACATTTTCAACTTGATATTTTGGAGTGGGGGCCCCATGAAGATGTTACAAAATGTAGTATTATATATTCCAAGGACATTATATACCGTATAATGGCCTTGTGTATTCATACACGTAAGTGGTCAACTAATGGTGTGCTTCTGTTCGTGTGTGTGACTGTGTGCATACACGTGCGTGTACATGTGTATTTAAATCAGTACATTGCAATCAGAATATTGACTGTTAGTAGACTGAGGTAACGTTAGCAGTAAAAGCTTAGCGTTATGTTTGTTGCGACGTATTGACAACAAAGGTGATGTTTTCTTGATTCTAGATAATTTCTTTGGCGATTCCAGGCATGCGGCATGTCTGTTTCTCAGACACACACATTAACACAATGCTAAACAAACCTCTGCTTCTGACAAATCTAGCAGGTGCCACAACATTCTATGTGATGGAATTTTGAGTAAACAAAGCAGCATGTTAAGCAATACCCTAGTATGGGTTGTTCGAGGTAACGTATTAGAAGACAAACTCTGACCCGAACGAGAAGAATGACAAGATGTCTTACACATGACTGGGCCGCCGAAGCCGCCATATTGGCCTTACCTAGTCGTTCGAGTTAACTCATTGACCAGCAATCGCAAAACTTTAACTCATAATGACTATACGGTCATACATATGTTACCACTCTGATAAAGTACGCTACACATAGTCGCGTACACTACACACTTAAGAAAAGTAAAGAATAGAAATGTGCTTACAGTTTCCTGTTGTTTGTTGATAATGTTGAGACCTGCTCCGTAGCCCGGCCCAGTGCAAATTTATGCAAAGCAACCTACCGAGCAAGTCGGACTGCCTGAAGTGCCCCACGCCCCCTACAGACAATGATGAGAACGCCCCGGTGACCCCGTAGGAAAAAAAATACAAACTTATCACATACTGTGTTAATGTAAATAAATACAGGTGTTCGACGTGCTCGGTGTACCAACCAAGGTTTGGCATTGCTGTTGAGTGTTAGACCGTGACTGTTACAGGTTGGGAAGGAATATCATGTTTCTTACGGCGTAAAATATACAAATTTAAAGGGGAGGGGGGCGGATGGAGGAACATGGTGCAAGGACCGAGGTTATTACAGGTGATTACACTGGAATCTGAGACCTTTGGCATACTATAATGTAACCTTTATTACGATTTTGTAGTAATGGTGAAGAGCTCTATCGCCAAGAGACCATGTCTGAGTCTCTTGCCCAGTCCAGTATTATCAGGACAGATGATCACAGTTGATAAGAAAATTATCTCAAGGAAGCTAAAAGAAAGCAAAATACGTTGATGCAATCAGGTGTCTCTTGTGTAAGGTTTACCTGGGGGTATTTAATTTTTTTTCATCACAAACACCGTACAATAGGGGTGCGATTTGGGACTGGAATGCGCTCCAAGTGGCAGGTTTTGTAATGCAAATTTACAAGTAGTCTAGTAATTGTCCAAAGAGCCCAGCTTATGGCCCTGTTTATTCACAGCTTGAGAATACAATGTATCTTTAAGTAACATCTTATGCTTAGGTCACATTTCCAAACCGGGGCCCGGCCGGGTAGTCATTTGGAACGAAAAATATGGTATAAAACGCAACAAAGCACAGAAAGGTTGAAAAATATCAACAATGGAACTAACTACGTATATTCTTGATGAAAATTGGTGATTTTTCGTTTATTGAAACAGCCCGGCCGGGCCCCGGCTTGGAAATGTGACCCCAGCATTACCGGGGAGGTTTTGCTTTGTTGATATTCGTTCTCTGAAACGGCACACATTGAAACCAATGGAAATACACGTACACGCAATTAGACATTACAGTAATTTTAATTCTCAACTCCTGTTTATTCCAATATAAAAGAAACAACATGAATTTACAGCTGGAATTAACTGCTTGTATATCCATAATCCATCAACTTTTCTTCTATTGCCTAAAGCTTTATTAAAGCTATAATGATATATGTACTAGTACTACTTCTGTTTGCCTGCCTTTATTATTGGAATTGCACTTCACCCCATAAAATTCCATAAATCTATACATAAGACGAAGATACTCCCCATGTGTGGCAAATTCACTGGTTTTGTATCGCTTTATTATTTCTGAATACCTCAGTCACCCCAACAACCAAAGAACATAGAAAAAATGTAGTACATGTAGTAGGAAAAACTAATTATGCTTATATTCATGTTTACCTTCGCAGAAGGAAAACATTGTTTTTGCTCAGTTTCTTTCTCTTCTTTTTCTCCAAACAAATAAGGTCAATGACCTGAACCTGACGTCTGTCACCATGGTAACATAGTAACACCCTGTGGTGTTAGGTTACATTTTGTAGCATGACAGACCTCGTTTGGCTGCTCACCATGCATTATATACGAAAGTGTTTGAGTTACAGTAAACAGAGCTGTACATATTCATGTAGTAGTATGTAGTTTGGTAACTTAAAGTTAGAACATGTGAAGGTAAACATTATGCATTTAATTTTTACTTTTCTAGTTTCTGTACATTGTTTTCAAGGGCTACACATTTGCCGAAATATGAAGGCACGTGTTTTCCTGAGTTCAGAATACAGGAAGAAACCTGTCATTTGTTATCTTTAAATTATACCTAGCCTCTAGATTATAAACTAGCCCATTTCCGGTACAGTATCTACGATAATGTTTCCCTCTGTCACCGTTCTTGATTATGCTGCCATTTTGTTCTGCACTTTCAAGAAATTTCAAAAACCAACTCTCGCCTCCGAACTGATCATGACATGATGTTCACAAAATAAACTTGTATACAATACGCCTAGTTTACCAGGACTATGTGAATATACAATTGACACATTTTCTATCTGAAGTCAGTTGAAATCCAACAATATTGCGCTACATGCTAACTGACTGACTTACATGGCACAGTTTGTCCAAACTCGTGTCCGTGTTGTCAACATGTTCCAGTTTCTACTGGTTATGTAGTCAGGAAACTCTTGATATATTGTGGTGCAGGGAAATAGTACTGAACTAATTCATGACAACATGTTTCTATAGTATTAAGCCATTGCTGTTTTGTGAGTATGGTTATGTACAATATGTACAACAATCTGTGTATATGTCACCATATAAATGAGCTAACTTCATGTTCATTTCTTAAGCTTGAATATTGGAAGCTATAAATAATATGAGAAGATACGGCGGCCGCCAGAACCCCAGCGGTGGTCTTTGGTAGAACAGTGGACTTGATGTTCAGCGCTGGTTTTCCTCCCCTTCTTTGCGCCTGGCCAGGTACGCATTCTTCAACTGGTTATCTGCAACAAGACACGAAATATTGATGATATCTTGTAATATAAACTTTGCAAAGATTTTAGATTCTACGCAGAGGAAGCTGAAGGTTTTTCTACAGCCACAACCTGTACCAATTACTAGTATGCAAAACCTACGACCCTTTGCACACAGCAGTTGAGGGAAATCCGTACAATAGGGGTGCGATTTGGGACTGGAATGCGCTCCAACCTGTACCAATTATGCGAAACCTACGACCCTTTGCACACAGCAGTTGAGGGAAACAGTTGAAAATAAAGGCTGGTTCGTGATTTGCATTTTTAAGCACCTGCTCCTGTTCCCTTGGCTTAGCGTCGCAGCAATGCCCAAGCTACCCTGTGTCTGATCGCACCAGGCAGTACGTACGATCACTCACCTCATCGTAACCTTTTCTTTGCCTCCTTTAAACCTTGTGGGTAAACCAGACGGAAAATAAGAATCTGACTTGTGTTGTGTAGTAATAAATAGTTCTTAAGTTTCTACATCTGATATTTAAAGAGGTTTGAAGTGCCATGATATCGATCTTTATGGTTTTATATATCATGCCATGAGTAGGGTAAATAAGATTACTACTTCTAGTGAAATAGTTTGGATCTTTTTGTATACAGTCTACATTTGAAGAAGTAAGAAACGACCACCTGTTCAACGTATAAATGTCTGAAGAAAAGGACAAATGTACTTATCAATCTTACTTTTACGCAGTATTTTCCTGTGTATGCTTTTTTTACTCAATCTTTCCTCTTAAGACATTCGGCAATGGAAATGATATCTTTTGTCTTTACCTTTCTTGTATTCTTCCATAGCCTTGCTCAGATCGTTGAGAGAAGCCTTCATGTGCACCAGGTGTATGATGAGTGTGTTGTAGGTGTCCCGCATGGCCGTGTTGACGTTCCGGTACCAGGGTCCCGGCTGCTTGTTGAACACGCCCGGCCTTTGCTTGTACAAGTCCTGAAGTTCGTCTGACAGCTTGTCGATCAGTATGTCTCCTCCTGTTCAAGATGAGCATAGAAAAAAGAAATTGTTTTATTACTTTGACTAACGTTAAAAATGTAAACGGTGTTGCCGTGACTTGAGAAGTCCGAGAAATATCTCCAAGAAAATTCAATATACAACTGCCACGAATATATTTTCGTACTATGGAAAATGAACATGTCGATTGCAACCATAGAATAGAGAACTGTGTCTACTGTACATATACAGATACCATTTGGCAGCGAGGTAGAAGGGGATCATGTTCTCAAACTAGTACTTGACTCAAAGCTTAAGAGTACGTGTAGCTCGGGTGGAAAACTTTAGAGTTTCCTGGCTTGTAGATGTTACAAAAGGTTGACGCAAACAACTAGAGAAAACCAGAGTTCGGCGATCTCATACCTCCATGAATGTTTAGGGCTTTTGTAGAATTTACGCATGGTGATGACCATCTGTAAATGGATTTCATGGATGTAAATACTTGTAATAAATGAAAAATTCATGTAAGGTTTCTGCCGACCGACCTGGCCGCACGGTGGTGCCAGTCTGCACCAGCTCTGCCAGGTCCTTGTCCGCCGGGTCCTCCAGTTTCTCACACTGGCAGGCGTGGCTGAGGGTGCGGTCAGACAGCTGCTTCATCACCTGCAGCAGCCGCTCGCTCTTCGCGATGCGCTGGGCCGCCTGCTTCATCTGCCGCTCCGTCTCCGGCGTGATGTGGTCCATGGTGGTCGGCAGGACCTGTTGTAACACACGGCATCGTCAGAAAACAGTCGGCCTATTTCTACAGATACTGTAATTCACTTAATATTCACGGTAGCAAAAGTTCACGGTCTGAGAAGAATTATATGTTCACGACGGCGACAGGTGCAGAAAAAAGAAAGTCGACGAATTATTTGTAACGGTAATGATAAGTTCGCGGTACCACGAAAACAGCGAACATAAAAGTACCATGAAAAAACAGGAATTTGTAGTATATACATTTTGTACATATTTTAGTTGAACTATAGCTAGTCATTTTTAACGCCTCTTGTCTGCCTTACTGAGTTTCAGATCAAGACACTGTATCCTTTAATAGAAAGAAGACAAAAATTGGATAAAAGTATCATCACCTTAATGGGCCTGCCGTAGACCTGGTCCACAATGACAGGGGGTGAGTCTGTGTTCCGCCGCCGGCGGTCCTTGCCGTTATTCTTCCTCAGGTCCGACAGTGAGTTGAGGGACTTGTAGACCTCCTGACTGACTCCCAGCTTCTTCTTCTGACCACTGGGCAGGGCCACGACAGGGCTGTACTGGGCTGGGGAGGGTGTGCCCGCCACCAAGGCGTTGTACTGAACACGGGAAAATAAAGCAAAGTGTCATCTATACACATCGTCACATCACCTTGCAATAGAGAGAAAGATCATGATTGCCGTTAGTCAAAAGTTGTAAAACAGACTAAAAGGGATTATAGTTATGTAACATCTGTGTCCATATCGCCACCTTGAGAAAAAGTGTGCTTAAAGATATTTTTACTGCAACATACCCTAGGTATGTACATTTGAGGTGTGCAGGAGTGCATACCAAAAGTATGTTGCAGCAAATATATCTAAAAGCACACTATTTCTCAAGGTGGCGATATTATGGACCCTGGTGATATTATGGACACGGATGATCCTTGTACACTAGGAATACTAGTATTGTTTTACCTCAGCTGACTCCATCATCATTGGCGGGAAATCCTCAGAGATGTAACTCTCAGGGGTGGATCGTTTGGATGAGTTGGTGATGGATGAAGGGGGAGGTGGAGGTGCGTGGGTGCTGGGTGCGCTCTTCGCGTTCAGCTTGGGATAGTCAGCAATGTGTGGTGGCGGTGCACTGTTGAAGGAAGGCGCCGCACTTCTAACAACCGGCTCCGCTTCCGCGATGGTCGCGGTCTGTTCGGGAGGTGACGGTGGAGGGACACGGTCACTGGGAACGTTCGTGATAGTAACGAGCTTTGGATAGTCGAAGATGACGCCGTAGTCGTTTTCTTTTGGGGGCGACGGAGCTCTGTTTACCGGCGGTGTCGCTTCCTGGACAGGGCTGCTCTTCGGAGGGGTCGTGGAGACCAAGATTTCGTCATCCCTGCGCAGGGGAGGGGGAGAGGGCGGCGGGTAGTCGAACTGGACCAGGCGGACCTCTCCTGGGGTTTCCTCTTCAACCAGCTCGTACTCCACTCCGTAAATCTCCCCGTACTCGATACCCTCGTCCTCTGTAGGGCTGCAGGAAAACAGTTCCAAAAAATTGTTACGACATTGCTAGTTTGAAACAAACATTATGCGCTTAGCCAAAATGTTCTTAAAATAAGCTCACTTTCTGTAATCATAACGTTACATTTACGTTTATGCTCATGGACAATAGTGATCACGCAGGTATAATTTGCTGTGTAGTTACTGTACCTGGATGAATGACTGGTGTTCGTTTGCTTGTGCGGAGAGGGAACTCTGACAGGCGACAGTATGAGAGGTTGTGGTGACGGAGATCTTGGTGGTGGTGACGGCGTACGCCTCCTTGGCGGCGGGAAGGTGAGCGAGCC